TGCACTTTTGAGGAACGTGAGCTTCGCCCAGGCACCTTGTGCAAGCGTCATGGCCATCAGCCGCCGGCATAGCTTCACGGCAAACAACATTTTTTGAAACCGAGAGAGCCCGGCATTGCTAGGAGCCGACAAGGGTGGCTGGATGCCAACACAGGCAGTCTTTGTCTTTTTGTTCTTTGTCAATTTCTTTTCTTTAGCGCTTGGCTGTAGCGCTAAAGAAACTGATCTGACGAAAAACTTTTTTTTTTCCGACCAATAGAACTGTAAAACAGGAACACGACTAACCCTAAAATTAACTATTTACACTGAGAACTAACTAATAATGCTATTGAGGAACATAGATATAACAACACAGGGTGCTCCGACCATGACCTGAGGCGGTTGAGAGGAACTGGCGGTTGCCAGCCTGTACACGGCTGATCAAAGGCGCGAACGGCTCTTTGAAGGAGCGCGCATGCGTGGGCTGGCGGGACACAGCTATGAAAATTCTCCGTGCCGCGGCACCGGGACGGGACCCGACACCTAGAATAGAGCACCCACGGGGCCACTCGAAGAAGAACATTTCATTTATTTTAAAGGTACACCTTTCTCATCTAACAAATCACTTTGGAATTCAGTGCAACCTTGAAAAAAAAAAAATCAGATCAACTATTTTGAAAAGAGATACCAGCATGCCATTGAGACCAAAGACTTTGGGCAAAATATCTGAAAGTGCCTGAATAACTTAGTCTAAAAAGCTTCAGAGGGATAGCTGAGTTAGTCTGTAACTGGAAAAACAAAAACAAAAACAGTCTTGCAGTACCTTAAGAGAATAACAAAACACGTAGATGGTATCATAAGCTTTCATGAGCACAACTCACTTCGTCTGATGTTACCATCTACATGTTTTGTTAGTATTTAAGGTGCTGCTACACTATTCATTGTTTAAGTTTTCTTTTTCATAGAATAGAAGAACTGGAAGGAAACTCAAAGTTATCAAGTCCAGTCCCCTGCACTTGCCAGGACCAACTACCATCTAGACCAGGGCTACTCCACTGTGGAAGCCCCGGGGGCCACAATGATACTCACAACACATGCCAAGGGCCACAACTTAAGTGTGGTTGCGTATACATGCAAATAGCTTTTTCACAGTGACTGACACTAATACAAAGATTAAGCCTTAAGCCCCAGCGCCAGACCCAAACGTGGCCAATGAGAGCCAGTCAGCAGCTTTCAGGCTCTGCCCTCAAGGCTAAGCAGCCAGCACTTCACACAATGCCCCAGCGTTCCCAGCACCTCCTTCTTGGGGGCTAGAGATGCCAATACCCTGTAGCCATCTTCCAGCTAGCCCGTCCGCTTGTGTCTTTCAGTGTTCAACCCACTTGGGAGAGGTGTCATCATCGTGAAGTGTCTTCGCAGTGGAGGCCCTGTTCAAAGGATCCCCCAGGCAGCCACATGTTGAGCCCCATGTAAATCCAAACCACGCTGCTGTCTGCAAACAAATGGGCCACAGGCTGTATGTGGCCTGTAGGCTGCCTGTTGAGTAGCTCTGATCTAGCCCATTCCTGGAAGGGATTTGTCTAACCTGCTTTTAAAAATCTCTGATGGAGATTTCACAACCTCCCTAGGCAATTTATTCCTGTGCAGAATGAACCTGCTTTTCCTAATGTCCAAACTAAACCACCTTTGCTGTAATTTAAGCCTATTGCTTCTTGTCCTATAGCTTTATATAGGAACATTGTGATATTTTCTGTCTTATTATGTATCCTTGTTCTAATGTTTCCTAACTTTGTTTGCTTCTTTGACTGCCACTGCACTTTGAGCAGAAGTTTTTAGAGAACTATGCACAAGGTTGTCAGCCGACAGTCAGGGCAGTGTGTGTGTGTGTGCGCGCGCAGTGGGCAACCTGGAAGAGGTTGAAGGGCGCCCCAATGAGTGTACAGGGAGAGCTTATTACACTTCAGATTTCAGCTGCTAGAATTCACAATTCCTTCACAGCGGGCAGCCTCAGGGAGGCTGAGAAGCGCCCCTTTGCCACCTGGGTGTGACACAAATCCAAACGCCCAAGCTCTCCCTATATCTGTCCCTTTATGACCGGCTGAAGTTCTTTTAAATTGTGCTTGGTTCTATTACAGCAACTGAAGGAGTCAGGTTAAAGCTTAAACAGTTACAGGTTTATTTGAGGAAGCTTATAAATCATGTGGTTGCAATGGCTATTGTTCTATTTCTTAACTGCTGGCAAATTATTTTTATATATAGATAGATAGATAGATAGATAGATAGATAGATAGATAGATAGATAGATAGATAGATAGATAGATCTTAATATATATAAGAGAGAGAGAGATCTTAAAAAAATGGTTACAAGGAAAATAAAGATAGAAAATAATGGTACCAAATGACAGCTTAATCTTTAAAGAGCTCTATTCTATGCATGCACTAAAACAAAAGGACACATACAGGTACAATTTTTACCCCTTTCTGCGTCACTCGGTCCCAGCGTGTCAGGCCAGGATCGGTCCCTCAATTCCTCAGAAAGACGAAAATACGAGGTGGGCGTCCCTGTGGACCTCAGGAGGTCAAACACCTAACCCGACCAGCAGGTAAATGGTAGATTGACACTCAAAGTGAGTGTGTGCTGGCCCATCTTATATACCCATTGGGTCACGTATTTTCTCTTTCTTATCTGTAATGCCAAGTGATGCTGGTCTGTCTTTTGTGAGACCAGTTCTTACAAGGGAGTTGTGAACTTAATTTACACTTGTAAGAGAGAATTGAGATGATTAAATTGGAAATACTGGACATTCTTTTCTCAGTGGGAAATTCCTCTCCCGGGGACAGTGTGTGTTCGAATCAACATAGGTGCCAGCCGGGCACTTCTTGCAGTCTCGAGCTTAGCTTATTTCTTTAATCATTACTCAGTCAGAGAAACTCACATATCCTGGTCTCACATCAAAGCAGATCAAAGCTTGATGGCTATGCTGATCTTATTGTTTCTTCTCTGCTCTGTATACAGACATCTCAGGGGGGGGGGGGGGGGAAAGCTGTCTGGCTACAAAGGTCCTTCCTGAATAGTAACTGCTCATTTAGACATCCTCCCTCCCCACCATTTTGTATGCATAGTGGGGATTATGCTTTCCAAAGCACATGACTTTGCATTTATCAACGTGGAATTTCATCTTCCATTTTATTGTCCCGTCACCCAGCTTTGTAAGATTCTTTTGTAACTCTTCACAACTTACTTTGGATTTAAACAACCTTGAGTAATTTTGTATCATTTGCAAGTTTTGCCACCTGTTTACCCCTTTTTTCCAAGCTCATTTATGAATGTTTATCAGCACTTCTCAGTACATATTTCTGGGGAACCCCACTATTCTGTATATGGACCAGTTATTCCTATCATGTTTCCTGTCTTTTGAGCAGTTATGATCCATGACAGACCCTCCTCATCCCAAGTGCTTAGTTTGCATTAGAGCCTGTTGTGAGGGACCTCATCAGAGGCTCTCTGAAAGTCCAAGTACACTATATTCACTAGATCATCCTTGTCCATGTTTGTTGATCCCCTCAAACATACAGCCTTCTCCTTGTGAATGCAAAGCTAGTGCAAAATATCACTAGTTCCACTGGACCCTGGCCAGGGGACTCATTTGAGTTTTCAAATAAACCTGATATCAATACTTCTGAAATGCTTGACAGGACAGCAGTGCACACACAGAGGGATTGTTTAAAATGGAAAAGCCTCCATTTCCACTGAGTGAAACTTGCAGAAACTCAATACCTCAGAGAGGAGCTTGGGATAAGTTTCCCAACTTTCAGGCACGCAGGCAGTTTCACAAATTAGGTGTGTAGAAACAGAATCACAAGGAAGAGTATTTTATAACTCAACCACACTAGTCATTACCAGCACCTGTTATGATAAACTTTGATATCTTACATGAAAGGAATGTTGTCTCACTTCAAATACTTTCAAAAGTCATCTGAAGTAGGCTGTGCCCACAAAAGCTCATGGTACTATCTACATGGTTTGTTAGTCTATTATTTGTTCTTTAAATTTTTCATGTACTTTGTCATTACTAGTAAAAACTGATCCAACTGTGCATTCAGTTCCTAATTGAGGATCTTTAAGTGTGAATATCATCTTAAAATTTAAGAAAGTTTATAGACCTTTCCCCATGAAAAGAGGTTTTAGAACTAGATTGAGGACTAATTTTGGTTGAAAATACACAATTTATAACAGATCATCAGGTTATTCAAAGATCTACTTTCACACAACTGATCAGAGACTGCCTCTGGGGCCCATATTCAGTGATTCCTGATTTTGGAAGGTGTTCTCAAGAACAATTTGGGGTACGAAGACATACCTTTTCAACTCCAAATAAAGCTACTTCACACCACATCTGAACAGCTAATGTAATTACTGGGCTACAGAAAATAATTCAGAGAGGAAATTTAGTGGATTAAATACAGGGCAAACCAAGGGTTAGTGCATTCTAATTCCAGCTCTTACAACTATGACTACATGCCACAAACTTGTTTTATTTCCTTCTCTAAACTGGAGGTATTTATGAAAGGAAATATTACTATTTAATATCAAAATTCACTAGAACACAAAATTGCCTTGTGGCTGAAGGTCTAGCATCTCCTAGCTTGTTTACAAAATTTTTAAAAAAAGCAAGCCAATAGTATCTGGGTTCCCAGATATTGCTACTGTATGCTGAAAGTTTACATTCCATATAAGAGGACTGAGTTAAGATTTAAAGTTACATTTCAGATCCAGCCCCCAATTCACACTCTTCCTCCCTCCCCCAAAAAAATCTCACTAATTCTCCAGTGCAAATGCTGTGTGTGAGAATATAAACACAATGAACATTAACTGTACACAAAAAGTTTCACCCACGTGTTAAGGCCTTCTTGGAACAGGACACTTCAAAAGAGAAAAGTGATACCATTTCACTGTGAAATAGGATATAAATTATCTCCTAGTTCAAAAATCTAGAGAAAATGTTCATATACCATAGTCTGTAGAAAGATTATATTCTTTTATTGGTTTCTTGTTTTACAGATTCAGATTTAACTTTCAATAATAAAGTTCAATAAATCAATTCCTTAATCATAAAAAACTTGCTTTACACACTATTTACATGTAGCCATAGACTATAGCCACACAGAATGTCACAGCTATACAACGTACCTTCACACATGACAAGCTGGGATGGGGGAAGCTAACTGCAATGAGACATTCAAGGATCAAGTTGTGGATATACACAGTGTATTTGGCACAGCTCACTCAATTTTAAGGTCTGGCTCTGAAACAGGAAATACTAGCTGTAGTAAAGATATGCAGGAATTTGGTAAGGGCCAAAACCAGCTCAGGTAACAAGACTATTTTTGCCAATCTGCAGGTTGATGAAAAAACCCACAGAATTAAGCCACCCTCTTCCCTGTTTACTACCAACATATTTATGTTTTCATTAAGGTGATTTTTGCTTTAAAAAAAATTATTCCACAATTCTAAAGAGCTCTCTTCAAGCAAGTCACTAAACCTACCCCCAGAAGCTAAGTTTATAACGTTTAGTGGGGAATTACAAGGACACCAAGAAGGCATCACCTGTTAAATTGTCCGTTTTGTTTTATCAATAGGGTGAACACCAAAAAGTCAACCCCATCAATGAGTTTAAATAGATTGAAATGCCAGTACAGTGTATCTGGAATATCATCTTTATGTCTTTGAAAGAATCAGTTCAGAGCTGTGAGCAACTTGATAAAGGTTCCTTTCTCTCACACAACATGAAATGAGGCAGTTCACATTGTTATAGGTTCTTTTGGGACCTGTACAGAGATATTAAAGGAGGAGAGGAAAAAAAAACAAGTAACATCTAAACAAGTAATATCTTCTGCAACCTGTACTGTAACATATCTATTAATGGTAACATATCAAGTGTGATATTTTACAAAAAAACATTCATTTAAAATCTGTCCATTTCCTTTTTAAACTGAAATAAAGATTTCCCACAGTGCCTTGACAACCTTCTTATATTCTTCTTAAGAAGGTGAAAGAACTAAATCTCTAAGGCGGGACACACATTTGAAACACTTGTTCAAGAACTGGCTCATAACTCAAGGACAAAATGAATTATAGAGTTTCAAAAGACAAACATTCAGCAACAGACATTACTGCTTTCTTTTTAGGTACTACTTATTCTTTCATACTTAAAAACATTTAGACAATTGGATGATAAATTCTATTAAACAAATGATTTTAAAAATATGTAAATAATTAAATGAGGACAGTCTGTCATGGAGTTTCCTCCCCTTATCTGCATAAGGAACTCTGACAGTTATTAGCCTAATGCTCTACTTCTGTTTAAATTGAGATCATGAATGATGAAGCAAACATGATAAAACACACGAGCACCACATGTTCACTTAATCCCTTCCTTCTCTTCACTTCTATTTGCAGACTTCCTAAACTCAGTCTTGAGGATAATCTCTAGTTCAGAATGTACACAGGTTTTATGTCTGATGGAGGCTTTCCAGAAATACACACAACTAAGAATTGTCTTTTGGCTAAACGTTATTAAGAAAAGCACAATGGCAATTCGTATTGTTCCATAATTAGAGACTAAAAAAATTGAATCAACAACCCAAAATCTAAATTGAACTCAGTCTGAGAAAGGCTTATGTTTTCCAGCTACTGCCTTAATACTTAAAGTTTTTAATTTTTTTTAAAGTACCAAATTGGTGTAACAAACATTCATTTATAATGTTTATATTTTGGAAATCTCATTTTGTGTCATCTCCTCACATATGGATGCTCAATTTGATATCCATTGAACTCAAGAGGAATTTGGCTTTGCTGGGTTCTAAGGAATAAGGGAATATATCTAGGTCTATCAGTGCCTTTTTAGAAGACATTAGTTTTTAAAATATCCTTGTCCACCCACAACTTGCTCTAGATCTTTCTAGAAGTGCTGCTTAATGCACTTCCCCAAAATTAGGTTAAAAAAAAATCTGTGGCCTCTTTAGATGGCAGAAACTGATTACCTCGGCTTTTTATCCTATTAGATGCTTTGCCTTGTTAGCAGATAAGCTGGAAAATTTTCCATTCCATTTTTATGGTTATTAGAACAATTACTGAAATACACAAATGCATAACATTATTTGAAGATAACCAGGCCAAATAGCTCTCAAGTGTCCAACTATGGGGAACAAAGGGAGGATGAGAAATGGACGGGCATATGGCGGCAGACCAGTCTTGCACTTTTCCAATGCATGTGGCAACCTCTTATGTTACCCTGTAGTTTTCACAATGACACTATGAATATTTTCCCTTAGCAAGGAATAACATTAATCTTACATAATAATGTTTTGGTCACGAGGGGGAGACAGAGGTGGGGGCATGAAGTGTTTGAGCAGCTCTGCTTAAAACATTTTTACAAGGTCATCTGTACGAACGAACAAACCTGTGCATTTCCCCCTTTCCACAGAAGGATTCTCATATACTCACACGCACAGACTCTACAGAAAGGTAAGACACTTTATTGAGTTTTTTGATAAATTAAGAAAATTATGAACCAGACTTGTACAGATCACAGGGTGCTTGTAAACAGAGACACTGGGTCCTTTCCATGGAAAGCCTGACAGAGTGCTCATTCAGAAGTCATTTTCCGCAACGCTGCTCACAGGCTGCATAGTGATGGAGGGCAGAAAAAAAATCTTCATAGCTGATGTTCAGGTGTGAAGGCAAAGAGCTGAAGAAACAGGTTAGGAAGGAGTCATTAAGGCAACTATTTTATGTAAAGGATTTTGATGGGCAAAGAAATGTAATTTAAGATCAATTATCACAATCACAACAACAATTAACTGAGCTGCAGAGTTCTTACACTCCTCAAATAACCCTCACAATGAAAGTATTTTAGTACACACAATCTACACTGAAAAAGTTGACCTGGCTGTAATTAAACACTTTACTTTGGCACAAGTTAGTGCTCTGGAAATCTCCATGTACAGTGAAATAAGTGCAACATAAACTTGTGCCAAAATAAAGACATGTTAATTGCAGACAGGTTAGCTATTTGTGTAAATTGTGTGTGGAGAAAAGCCTTTAAAAAAACTCTACAATTAAGCAACTTATATAGTACTACTGACACTCTGCTTTCAAGCCCTTTATTTAAGGGTATCCGAGGTAGCAGCAGAGGGCTGAGGGGGGTGTGCTGCCTATAACTGTGAAGGTTAACTGATGAGCCCAGGCTCATTGGTTAATTGTTTACCCATTTACACACATCCCTAACTTCTTTATAACACTGGGAGGCAGTAGCAGAGATAGTTTGCATGCCAGAGCATGAAAGAAGTTTGCTCCTGCCAGCACCATGCCTTAGAGACAGCTATGACATTTTTAAACCACAGAAGAAAAATTTAAATCTTCTGAGTGAAAGTATGATTGAGCACTTTTTCTACTAAAGTTCTCAAAGACAATTACAGATTGGACTTATTAATGAAGTGTCAGAAGGAGTCTTAAGCAGTGTTCCTTCTAATTTTCCCATTCTTGAACAGTCTGAATTTTGTTATGTGCATCAATATGGAGGTGATATGCATCATCGTCTTCATGCTGATGCACATAACAAAATTCATGTGGTGGAGGTGGGACCAAGAGGTTCTGAGTGTCAGAGGGAACTCGGGCCTGGGGCAGAGGATTGGGGTGCAGGATTGTGAGGGCTCTGGCTGGTGGTGCAGACTCTGGATTGGGGCTGTGGATGAGGGATTCGACTTGCAGGCTGCCCCAAGGAGAGAGGTCTACTCCAACCCTCTCTCAAAGCATCTTAGGTCCAAGTGAGAAGCTTCCCGATGGCCACTGCAGTTCCAGCAGGCATAGTTAGGGGAGGGAAGCTTGTCCCCCAATAGGGGCAGGTACAGGAAGAGGCACCTGTCCCCCTAGAAGTGGCAGCTCTGACGCTGGTCTGAGTTGGTGCCATGGCTGAGGGAAAGGCGTCCCCTTCCCCCAGTCCCAGCACAGAGCTGCCCACCTTGAGCCCTTTTAAGGGTCATGTTAAGCAGCCGCAGAGCTGCCTAACTTAGAGGGAACTTAGGTCCTAAGGACATATTTCTGCCTTCAGAATGCTCCTAGACATAGAATAACCCTAATACATCCACAAAGAATTCCTCTGACCCAATAACTATTAATAGCTCTTCATTTAAATCTAGGAATCATAAGTATATTTTAACAACCTTCATGTGTATACATGAGCCATATATAACTAAGTGTAAAGTATATCAACAGCAAGACACATGCTCTGTAAAGAGAAAAGTCGAACAAATACAATTCAAAGACAATTTGAGATAAGCTGATACAAAATACTGTCTCACAAATCTGATGGTTTGTTACTGTCTCAACTCTGAAGCCAATGGATTTTATTTAAGCTGCTGCTGAATCTTGAAGAACTTATCAAACAGGGCATACAACTAAGATTCAGGATCCTCACAACTGAGCTGGTCATGACATTTTTTTAAAAGCTTTTTGTACACCATAGTCATAAGAGGAATAGAAGTGGAATAATCAATTAACTGAGACACCATAAACATATCTGTGCACATAACTTCTATCTTTGAAGGGCCAAAAATGTCTCAAACTAATAGATTAAATGTTTCCTGTAGGAGACAAAGCCCAAACCAGTCAATATTATCTCTCTAATAGGAGAGTAAAGAAATGCATAAAAAAGATACTTTCTGTACAGTCTTCAAGCAAAACTTATTACTTGCTTTTTATCTGCTGGAGTGACTTCATTTCTTTCTTTTTGCATCGCTTGGAAACTTAAAAAGCATTTAAAACTGTCATTTTAGGGCATAAATATATGACTTATAACCAACTCACATAATCTCTGTCAGTCTGATGTGCCAGGGAAGGAATCCTAAGGTGCTGTCCACAGGACCAAACTTCAAAATTAAATCAGGATCAGGGAAACCTTTATTACCTACAAAATAAATAAATACAAGAGGGAAAATTAAGTTGGAATTAGAGATTTAGATTCATTAGAATGTTGAGAGTTATTTCTTTATCTTTAAAAGATATTAGACAGTAAAAAAGTGTTAAGAATAAAAGTTCAGTCCTCTACCTTTTTTCTGAACAGATAACTGAAGTGAGAGGTTGAGGTCATAATTGGCAAAAATGGGCTGCTGTGCCTTGAACCAACAATAGTTTGGGAACTTGATAAGAGATTATAGTGAAGACATATTAGAATACTACTGTGAAAAATCAAAATTAGCTGACATACTGACCAGTATTCCCTCTAAGCTGCAGCAGCACAGCTTCACAGCAGGCTTTCGAAAGATCCTGTAAACCTCATTTTTTGAGGACTACAGGATCTTTCAAAAAAGCCTGCCATTTTCAAAAGAACCGTGTCTAGACCGCAGTTTTACTGTCGAAATGGCGCTTTTTAGAAAGAGCGCCATGACGCAATTATGCAAATGAAGTGGGGATTTAAATATCCCGCACTTTATTTGCAATTTCAAAGTGTCTAATTTACACTTTGACAGAGGGATGTAGCCTAGACACATACTAAGGCAGTGGTCCCCAACCATTAGAGGTTGCTGGGCGCCAGGGGGCGTGACCGTTCGCCCGCTGGGCGCCAGAGGGCAGGGACACTTGCATGCCCAGGGGCGGGGCAAGGATGTATTGCTATTCAATCACATGTAATGCATATCTACATAAATGGAAATGATTCAATGTAGTGTGTCAGAATCTCCCATCAATGTATGGTGGAATTTCCATCCCTAGAGATTTAATTCAGGCTTAACGAAGCCCTGGCTGGGATGATTTAGTTGGGATTGCCCCTGCTAAAAGCAAGAGGTTGGACTCAATGACCTCTTGAGGTCTCTTTGAATCTTATGAGTTTATGATTCTATGAAAATAAGCAATTCAGGGACTTGACTGCCCCCTTCGTTATATTAGACTAGGTCCGTGGTCCCCAACACGGTGCCCGCGGGTGCCATGGTGCCCGCGGGCGCCGTGTTGGGGATCACTGGACTAAGGGAATAAAGGAGAAGCAGAAAGAGAAGAGAGTATGCTTTAAAAACCAAACCAAAAAAACCGCACACCCCTCCACACTAAAACAAGCACGAACTGCTTAATTTCTTGTAATTGCTATATCGTTGTACTTAATAACTTGGGACAAGTAGTAATACGTAGATTTTATAAAGTGTCAGTAGAAGTCCTCACGTATAGATGCTAGCTCCAGCCTGGAATACTCATAGGGAAAATAGTGGGTGCTTAGCACCCAATGTCAGCCCCATGGAGCAGCTCCTCTCCTTCCCCTCCCAAAACCTCCCATGTGGCTGCCATGATCAGCTGTTCAGTGGCATTCAAAAGGTGAGGGCAAGGGGGGGGGGAGGAGCAGGATAAGAGAAAAGCGCCCCATAAAACATACAAAGATATGAAGACTGAGGCAATACAGGACAAACAGGAGGAAGACTTGGAGGGGAGGAAATTAAATCAAACTTTGAAGGCATGGACAAAACTGAAGCAGAAGGTGAGAGGAAACCAGTGGGATACAGTGTTTTCAGAATGGTCTGCAAAAGAGTTAAGCAGCAGCATCTTCACACAGGACAGAAATGGGTGAATTTTTCTGACTAAATAAAAATTTTGCCACACAGTTTGAGAAAGTGAGACGAACTCAAACTATTTTCAAATGTGTCCAATACTTTAGGCGAGGGTAGGGTGGAATCTTTCTGAAGTGTCCACATTTTCTCAAAGTGTCACTTTGAGTAGACATTTGTGAGGTTAAGTTTTTTGTTTAGTCCATTTTGATTTAAAATGAACCTTTTTTTCCTGCCCACCATTGAAATTTTTTTTTAAAAGTCAATAGTTTGCTCAGTTCTGTGACAGAGACATGTAAAATATTATCTGAATCAAAACCTATTACCAAGATATGAGCAAATGTTCTAAAAACGGTCACCAGTGCTGGTTAGGAGTTCAAATCCAGATGTAAATCCAGTGCCATTCTGATCCAAAAAACTTAGTAGAACATAGTGGTCCCTTCCTGTTCCAGACACAATATAATACTTACTACTTAGTAAACTGTCTAAGACATTCACATCCAGGTCTGTACATTTTCTTTGCTGTTGTGCTACCAACTGGCAAAAGTTCTGAGCAGCTCTCACAATGTCTGCCTTTCCATCTTCTGGGGACAGCACCTTCAGTGTAGATTGGCAATTTAAAACTGCAAGTAAAAAATACAAAGTTGTTTTAAAAAGCAAGTGCAAGACAGCTTATTTGTTTACAGTTCTAGGATGTTAGTAAGTATTCAAAAGACAGGGATGGAAGTTCTTGTATCAATAACAATGTGCACATTTTGACATTTCAAATTAAAAAATACAATGCACTGAACATTGCCACTCAGTGTACTAACGTGTCTATCACAGCTACATCTTTTTAGAAGTTTATGGTGGTGCGAGTCTTCAGGTTTGTTACCTTAACTTTGTATTTCCTACCGTTTGACTTCAGGACATCTTACAAGACTTAGATGTAACCTGTAAGCCTAAAAGCTTAGCATTATATTTTAACAGTGTCACTAGTCTCAGGCCAGTTTCCAACTTTTGGGACAGAGGGACAAGATCACTTCAGAAGGCTGCATTTGTTCTGCTTCATATGACCGCTAGAAGCACTCTGCTAGAAGGCTATGACACTGGCAAGTGGGGGGGGAGGGGGAGGAGAGAAAATAGAGGCATCTGAGCCCCAAGTAGCATAGCAAACAAGAGTGAACAAAGGAAAGCACGGCCATTTAAAAAAAAAAAACACCACCAACCACAACACACCACACCAAAAAGAGCAAGGCAGCAAAACTGCCAAGAACAAAACAGGAGATAGGACATGACACTTTCAGGTGAGACGTGGGTAAAAGGCACAGGAAGAAATTTGTAATAAATGTATAGTTTTGAAGTATTTGGCTGCAAGTAACTGTTACACTGGAGTATTTGGAAAAGGCTATAAATAGAGAAATTAAGAAACACACTATAAGGGTTAGGAGGTTACTCGGGAAAACAGCCACTAGATTTTAGCCTGTATCAGACTGAGAAATTGAAGAGAGGAACACAGGGTACCCATGCTGAACTACACAAGCTAACAGCCCCTTTTTGAAAGACGATACACATTCCACATTTCCTGTCCGAGAGCGAATAAAAATATTGAGTCACAAGTTCATCCATGATGGGAAGATTTGTATCAGGCCTCAACTAGCTATTTGCATCCAATGCATTTTCCCAAAGAACCAAGAATCATTAAATATGCTTTGTAAGGTGTATAACTGTTTATTTTATAGGTTCTCAGTTTAAATTAGAGGACTACCAGCAAATGCTTTGTGTTCATAAAAAGTTATGCAGTCTAACAGAGGCGGGGTGGGGGAGGAGGGGAGAGGAGGAGGAGATGGTGCTGGGGGAAGCCAGCTTAAAAGCCAGTTCCCCCCAGTACCATCTCTGAGGCAGGATGGGGAAGAGGCGAGGGGGAGGGGGAGGGAGGAGAGAAGAGACCAGGCGCAAGCCTGTTCATGGCAAGTCCCCGACTGCACCTCTGCTTTTTAAAATGGAGTAAGAGCTGGGATGGGGAGCTAACTCCACTACAGCTCTGCTGTTTACCCTCTTATTGACTATTCAAGTAGGCTTATTGGGTAATCCTGTCGACTATATGCATTCTTCCCCCCCTTGCTGCCTCTGTATCAGAGTCAGCAAGGGGGAGGAGTGCATGTGGGAACCAATGCCCAGCCCCTACCCCTGTATTGCTGGGAAGTGTGGAGGCTGTAGAGTGGGTTCAGGTGCCGATACACATGGTGAACCAGCTTTTAAGCAATTCTTCGTGAATGCCACCTCAGCAGACTGACCTGTCCTGCCCCCTTGCTGCCTTCTACACAGGCAGCCATGGATTCCTCCCTCCCCCACCACACTGCTGCTTCTTTCAAAGGCAGCAGTGCAGGACAGCAGGCAGAGGCAGTCTACGCAGGAAGCTCGTTTTAAAAACCACCCATGCCACTGCCTCTGATAGAGTGGCAGCAGCACAGGGTGGCAGCAGGCTCCCTGAGAGAATGGTTGTGTAACTGATAATTTGTGTTGTTACACAACTATTCAATTACATGCTCTCAGACATTCCTAATAGACTCAGTCTTAGACCAAGCTGTAATTGCTACTACCACAGTGCTCCCCCTCCAGAAGTGGCTGCTGGTTTGTTTGTTTTTGGCCAATTTTTAAGCCAGCTCTCCTCGCAGACCAGCTCCCACCTGCCCCCCCAAAACTGCTGCCTCTGATACAGAGTCAGCAGCACAGAATGGCACAGGGCTCCCTGGGAGGGTCCCCCCCGGGAACATTTTAGTAACTGTAACTGCTAACAATTGTTGAACTTAGCTTATTTTAGTAATTTTGTATTTCTAGCATCCCCAAGGTGGACCACTTAGAAATAGTGACCATAATATAATTAACCTGTTAAATCCCTGATAATGGGGAACTACACAAAAGTTAGAAGGTTAAACAATTTAAAAAGGTATAGTGCCAAAAGTAAAATCCCTGAAAGCTGCATGGAAACTTTTCTAAGACACCATAATAAACGTTCAAATTAAATGTATACCCCAAATTTAAAAATGCAATAAGAGAACCAAAAAAGAGCCACTAAGGCTTAACAGCCAAATAAAAGAAGCAGTGAGAAATAAAGAGGCATTGTTTAAAAGCGGAAGTTAAAGCCTAGTGAGGAAAACAGAATGAAGCATAAACTCTGTCAAATGAAGTGCAAAAATATAATTAGGAAGGCCAAAATGGAATTTGAAGAACAGCTGACCAAAAAAAAAAAAATCTCAAAAAGAGTAATAGCAAAAATATTTGTATGTACATCAGAAGCAGGAAGCCTACTACCCAACCGGTGGGGCCACTGGATGATCGAGATGCTAAAAAAAGCACTCAAAAGATAAGGTCACTGCAGAAAAACTTTGAATGAATTCTTTGCATTGGTCTTTACGGCTGGGAACGTGAGGGAGATACCCAGAGCTGAGCCTTCTTTTTAGGTCACAAATCTGATAAATTGTCCCAGACTGAGGTGTCAGTAGAGAAGGTTTTTGAACAAACAGATTAATAAGTCCCAGATGGCATTCTCCTAAGAGTTCTGTAAGAACTCTAATATGAAACTGCAGAACTACTAATTGTGGCTTGTAACTTAGCTTCTGTACCAGATGACTGGAAAATAGCTAATGTGGTGCCAATCTTTAAAAAGGGCTCTAGGACAATTACAGACTGGTAAATCCAATGTCAGTACCAGGCAAGTTAGATGAAACTATAGTCAAGAACAGAATTGTCAGAAACATAGATGAACATAATTTGTTGGGGGAAGTCAACATGGTTTCTGTAAAAGGAAATTATGACTCACTAATCTACTAGAATTCTTTGAGGGGTCAACAAGCATGTGGACAAGGGAGATCCAGTAGATACAGGGTACGTCTAGACTACATGCCTCTGGCCACAGAGGCATATAGATTAGACTACCCGGCATAGGAAAATGAAGCGGTGATTTAAATAATCGCCGCTTCATTTAAATTTACATGGCTGCCACGCTGAGCCGATCAGCTATTTGTCTGCTCAGCGTGGTAGTCTGGACGCTCCACAGTCGACATCAAAGGCATTTGTCGGCCTCCCAGGTATGCCTCCTGGGGTATACCTGAGAGGTCGACAAATGCCTTTGTCGACCACGGAGCGTCCAGACTACCGTGCTGATTGGCTCAGCGCGGCAGCCATTTAAATTTAAATGAAGCAGCGATTATTTAAATTGCCGCTTCATTTTCCTATGTCGGGTAGTCTAATCTACATGCCTCTGTCGCCAGAGGCATGTAGTCTAGATGTACCCATAGGCTATTTCTGCGCTGAGCCGACAAATAGCTGATCGGCTCAGCGTGGCAGCCATGTAAATTTAAATGAAGCGGCGATTACTTAAATCGCCGCTTCATTTTCCTATGCCGGGTAGTCTAATCTATATGCCTCTGTCGCAAGAGGCATGTAGTCTAGACGTACCCACAGTGTACTTAGATTTCCAGAAAGTCTTTGACAAGTTCCCTCAACAAAGGCTCTTAAGTAAAGAAAGCTGTCATGGGATAAGAGGGAAGGTCCTCTCATGGACTAAGAGCTGGTTAAAGGATAGGAAACAAACAATAGGACTAAATGATCAGTTTTCATAATGTACAGAGGTAATTAGTGGTGTCTCACAGGGGTCTGTACTGGATCAATCCTATTTAACATTCATAAATGATCTGGAGAAAGGGGTAAACAATAAGGCGGCAACATTTTAAGATGATACTAAACTGCTCAAGATAGTTAAGCCCGAAGCAGAATCTGAAGAGCTTCAAAGGACCTCAAGAAAATGGCAGAAGAATTTTAATGTTGATAAATGCAAAGTAATGCACATTGGAAAACATAATCCCCGCTATACATACAATACGATGGGGACTAATTTAGCTATAACTACTCAAGAGAGAACTTGGAGTCATTGTGGATAGTCCTCTGAAAACATCCACTCAATGTGCAGCAGCAGTCAAAAAAGCAAACAAAATGTTAGGAATCGTTTAAAGAGGGATGGAGAATAAGACAGAATATCTTATTTCTGTTATATAAATGTACGGTAAGCTTACATCTTAAATACTGCGTGCAGATGTGGTCACCTCATCTCAAAGACATATTTTCCGAAAAAAGTTCAGAAAAGGGCAACAAATTATTTGGGGTTTGGGAACAGCTGCCATATGAGGAGAGATTAAAAAACTGGGACTTTTCAGCTTAGAAAGGAGGAGACTGATATGATAGGGGTCTATAAAATCATGACAGTGTGGAAAAAATGAGTAAGGAAAGGTTATTTACTTGTTCCCATAACATAAGAACTAAGGGTCACCATATGAAATTAATAAGCAGCAGGTTTAAAACAAGCAAAATGAATTATTTGTTTATGCAATGTAGTCAACTTGTGGAACTCCTTGCCAGAGGATGTTGACAACCAGCACTTTAACAGGATTCAAAAAAGAACAAGATGAATTCATGGAGAACAGGTCCATTAATGGCTATTAGTCAGGATGGATAGGAACGGTGTCCCTAGCCTCTGTTTGTCAAAAGTTGGGAACAGGTGACAGAGGAGGGATCACTTGATGATTACCTGTTTTGTTCATTTCCTCTTGGATACCTCGCATTGGCCACTGTTGGAAGGCAGAGTACTAGGCTAGATGGACCTTTGGTCTGACCTAGTATGCTATTTTTATGTTATGCTTATACTGTATACTATACACTGAAATGTAAGTGAAATATTGTTTTGATTGCTTACTGTCTTATTTTTACCATCTAATTATAAATACATTTTTCAGGAAAAGTGTGCCATACTACTTGTATTTTTATGTCTGATTTTGTAAACAAGTAGTCTTTAAATAAATTGAGACTTTGAGGGGTACACAAAACAAAAACTACTAAAAGGGATATAGGAGCCTGGAAAGGTTACTAGCCACTGCCTTAGACAACAACCACATACAATCAACATTAGCCCAGGAAGGTTACAAACATTCTCTGCATCTGTTTTTATAAAGGAGGTGAAGGGGGAAAGGGTGGGAGGGAAAACAACATGCAGTTGGGGCAGGGGAAGACAGTGAGGAGGAATGTACATACAGGATGATACACAAGCCTCAATGAATAAAGCACTGAGGGCCTCAGGGCTTTCATCACCATAATCCTACCTTGGTCTGTTTTGTCTTGATTTGCAAATTCCACCGCATATTTGGAGCAATCTAGACCCAACAGTTCCTGCTGCTGTTTTAAAATTTCATCCATAAGCCTTGCATTATTCCTTTTGAAGATACCTTAAAAAAATCCACAAGTCAGACAAGTCATTTCAGTTTTCACTTTATCAGAAAGACTGATGAAAATAGAGAAAGAAGAAACAGGTAGTAAAATGCTAGCTTTAAATTAGACTCTACAAGATAAATAATTGAGGCAGACTGTACTACATAAATCTGGCTTCATGACGACCTCGGAAGAGAATAAAGTTAACTACATACAACTTTTAGGTCTGTGGTATGTTGCTACTGTTCTTGATATGACTGAACCAGTAAGACATCTGATAGTTCTTTACAAAGAACACCACAAACTTCACTGATAGAATGCTCTAAATGACAAATTTACCATGTCAGATGCAAGTTTGCACATTTTCTCTAACAAGCAGAAGTCAGGGACTCCCATATTCTAGTGCTAGCCTTGCACCAACTCCTTCTGTGGCCTAAGAGAAATGAAACTTAGGATCAGGACAATAGTGCGTGAGAAGCTAAGCTAGCAAGCTACAGTGTGCAGCATAACCTCTTACAACAGCTACTCTACAATAAGCACATGTGTGAATGGAATGATGAAGAGAGCATGCACATTCTATGCTATGTGGTATGCCCTGCAGAATTGTATTCTTTCCTTCATCTGCATGCACTTCAACCGCATTATGTTAAGGATAGCTACATCAACTGGTGCAAGGATTACTTTAACACAGTTCACACATTATGAGGAAAGGTACATCTACACCAGTGTTTAACTTAAGACTGAGAAACGCCAAACAATTTTTTTTTTAAATGAGGAACACCAAGGATTGTGTGTTGAGGGGGTGGGAGCCGGGGTAGGGAGGAGTTAGAGGGGAAAAAAGTTGCCTCCCCTTTAAGGGTGGCCATTTTGAACTCTGTTCTCCACAGCACACCTGTATGCCACAGAACACAATTTAAGAAACACTGATCTACACCCAAAGTAATCATGGGCCCCTTATTTCTGTGCTGAGTTGTGCTTTTATGCTTGTGTAACCTACATAAAAGCCAATTCTTGCTGTGAGAACTTGTAAGTGTGATGATCTATGACACTGCACTTCAAGGGGGAAGCAAGTCTCTTGAGAACACTGCCTGCACTAAGATAAAGGTCAAGAAACTGTAGCAACTGGAACTCTGATTGCTTTTGTGAACAGATTAAGTACAGGCAAGGCATAGCGGTTGCGTTCACTAAGCCTGCTCTAAAAGCAGAGTTTCTCTGAGGATACAATTTCTCCGCCATACCCACACACTTTAACCCCTTCTCTCAGGAGCTCCAAACACACTATCACCAGGCATAGTGTGTTCCTTTGAGAACATCCTACTGGAGATCCTATTCATCTCCATGGCACAACATCTTACTGAGATGAGTGAGCCATTTCATTCTGCAGTCGTCCTAAGCTGCAAAGGGTTTTGTGGGTTCCTTCTTTCAAAGGAACACTTGTGAGCACACGTACAAGGAGATGGATACCAGCCTCTATACTCCCTTTTGAAAGAAGGAACTCAGCGAAACCCTTTGCAGCTTAGGATGACTGCAGAGACATGTGAAATGGCTCACTCATCTCCGTAGGATGTCATGCCATGGAGATGAATACTGCCTGGCAATAGGTTTGAGGTATGTCAGATGTTCTCCTCCACAGCACTAAGTCCAAACCAGCCCTTGTGGAACATCAGTTTTCATATGCAGAGAGATTATATTGAAAAATTTAAATATGCTCAGAATGTGGGGCGGGTATATGCTGGGAATCTCTTGACCAAATTACACTGAATTTGTGTAACCACTTTTGGGCTCAGAACATGAATCCCTTAAATCTTTTTCCTTAGGAGATAAGTACTGATTGTTTCAAGAGAAGAAGTGAGGTTAGGGGGCATAGATGGGAGCAGAGAGCACAACTTATTTGTGTGTTTGGAGCTCCTGACAGAAGGGGTATAGCCTGGATAGCCTCACCAGTGAAGCAGCTGAGAACCTGCATGAAGCCTGGGAAGGACAAAGTGGCTGATTGGGGATACCCCAGGACAGGAGCCAGACGGAACACACAGAACAAACCGGAGGACGACCCTAGGGAGGAAGTCACCTGAGGACAAACTGGACAGGCAGCAGTGATACTGGGTCCATGTAGTGGGACTGTGACTTGGCATTGGGAATGAGGGAGGCCATTAACTAGTTACACGGGAAGGTTGCTCTCTGCAAAGCCACACAGAACAACAGTGGAGGAGTTTGTTGGCACCAAAGACAACCAGTACCACTCACTACTAGGGATGTTAAAATACGTGTATGTATTTAAATGTGTAACCACTGAACTTTTCAGCAGTTACAGGGGGGGGGGGGGGGGGGGCGGGGCAGCCCACTTCCCCTGCTGCCTATATGGGAGGCAGGTGAGAGGGGAAGGTGGAAGGCAGCTCCATAGGAGCTGGCTCCTGCCTGCCCCACCTCCTTGCACTGCTGTATCAGGAGCAATTATGCCCTATCACCTCCCCACCATAGAGGCAGCAGTACCAGAATGTGTGCATGCATGTAACTGAGGGTTCACTAATGAGCCCAGGCTCATCAGTTAACCATGTACTCCGGTACACACCCTACTGGGCTGGAATACTGCCCAGGCCTCAAATTCTACATATGAGCAGATTGTTCTCTGTCTGCCTCTTGAAACAGGGGTATGGTAGGACCTTGTGTTGTACACAACCCTATTTTATCATTCCAACTATCTCCCTGTAAATAAATATTTCCTTTTTTAGTGTTCAGGTGGATGTTTGTTCACTCTGGAGGGTTTGAAACAGGTGCCCCTATTGTGGAAGGAACTTCCATAGCTGCCTTACTGTAAGCACCTTTTCTTGGCCAGAGCAGCCTGCAGTGCAGACTCCATCTAGACTACAGAGGTGCTGAAGTTATATCTGTGTCACATAAGGGTAATGGTAGAGTTTATGATACACCAATACATTGGAAGGTACTAGCACCAATACAAGGTTAAAGCAGCATTTTTGTTATAAGAGGGACAGAAAACACCTACAAAAGTTATGTAACCAGAGACAGAACTTTAAAATATTTATTGAAGTTTGTGCATTGCTTGATTGTTCATGCTTTTGAGGCTCAATGGTCACAAAGTGTCACCATCAACCACTTGCATATTTGCAAGCGAGCCTGCTATTGCTGCTTGTATGCCAGAGTGTATGCAGACATTAGAATAAGTAAGTGATTTTCTCCAGCTCATTAACTTTGGAGTCACATTATAGCACCAATTTTTGTTCTTGACACCTTTTATCACAAGACAGTCAAGTACCATTCTCTCAACAGACCTCCCTCAATTGCAGAGGGATCAAGCCACTGAATCCCCCCTGCTGCTAAGCTCCCTGTGTCTGGGAAATGACTGCTCACTGGCTCCTAGTTTGGATTGCTCCAGTGCACTCTCTGTTGTTGATGCCAAGGTCTGACAAACATCTCAAGCACTGGAACCCTGCAGTCTGGCTGCTTAGATCCTCAAGATAGTTCCTGGCTCTCTGAAGACCCTCTCACTTGTTTTGACATTTCCCGAGGAGTCCAGCTGGCTGCAGGAGCTCTGGTTTTGTAGCTGAACTATTCAAAAAGGCAGTACAGAAATACAGAAAGAAAACAGGCTTAGCAAACACTCTTTATTCTCAAAAATGAGTGTTACAGATCTATGGAAAGCAAGCTCCTGTACACATTTCCTTGGGGACAGGCCACACCAGAAACACTATAGTAGCACAGCTGCAGTGCTTCAACATAGATAATGTCTATGTTGGCAGGAGTGGTTCCCCTCCAAAGTACTTTACCTCCTCAAGAGCAAAAAGTTAATGAAAGAATGCTTCTGAAGTACTCGCACTGCGTACCATAGGTTAGGTCAGCTTAACTATGCCTTGGGGCTGAAAGATATTCTTCACATCCCTGGGTAGTGTACATCAGGCCTTAGCTTGACCTTCCCTCTTTTTGTGAAGGCTTGGGTTTGATCAGCATCCTCATGGGAGATAAAGTCCCTATCTTCACTCTCTGCAGATTAGCAGCAGCAGGACCAGTGAATTAGTTTTCTATCTTTATGGAAGTATTTTTCTTACAATGCCTCTGCACCTGCTTTGCCCAAGCTCCTCAACAGAGGAATTTTCATGCTTCAACATCCCACCAACTTCAGGGCATACATCATTCAAAGTCAATGGTCCTCGCTATTCCACCAGGGGAAAGCCATTCAGTATTTATGGCCCTTGATTGCTCTGTGAAAGCTTCCCAGAGTCTCTATATTGCGTAAAGTTCCTAATATGGCTTGTCTATACAAACATTGCAGCACATCTGGTAAAGACTTTGCAGACAGAACAGAGTGCCAAGCCACCTCCACAAGCAGCAGAAGCTATGTCAGCACAGAAAGCCCTCCAGCTGACAGTGCTGGCACACTGGTGCTTATGTTAGTATAACATAGCCAAGCATCCAGAAGCAGAGGTCTTAGGTATGCTAAACTAGTTTGATATCAATAGCTTCACATGCAGGTGCAAAGAAAATATATTTTCATTTCACTTTATTAAACTAGTCATTGACCTGAGCTAGTTGAACTAAAAATTAAGAAACCAACTGGGAAAGCAAGAGACTTGTTTGTTTTTCCTTCTAGATTTGATTTTAACAAATAGGGAGGAACTGGTTAAGAATTTGAAAGTGGAAGGCACCTTGGATAAAAGTGATCATGAAATCATAGAGTTCATGATTCTAAGGAATGGTAGAAGGGAGAACAGCAAAATAGAAACAATGGATTTTAGGAAGGCAGATTTTGGTAAACTCAGAGAGCTGGTAGGTAAGTCCTATGGGAAGCAAGGCTAAGGGGAAAAACAACGGAGGAGAGTTGGCAGTTTTTCAAAGGGACAGGATTAAGAACTCAAAAGAAAGCTATTCCACTGAGTAGAAAAGATAGAAAGTATGGCAAAAGACCGCCTTGGCTTAACCAGGAGATCTTACATGATCTGAAAATCAAAAAGGAGTCCTATAAAAAGTGGAAACTAGGACAAATTACAAAAGATGAATATAAGCAAACAATACAGGTATGCAGGGGCAAGATTAGAAAGGCAAAGGCATAAAACAAGCTCAAATTAGCTACAGACATAAAGGGTAACACAACAACATTCTAGAAATATATTTGAAGCAAGAGGAAGACCAAGGACACAGTAGGCTCATTGCTCAGTGAGGAGAGAGAAACAGGAAACTTGGAAATGTCAGAGGTGCTTAATGACTTTTGTTTCAGTCTTCATCAAGGAGTCTGATGAAGAAATGCCTAACAGTGAATGCTAGTGGGAATAGTGCAGGTTTAGAAGATTTTAAAAAGTAAGTTAAAATCACTTAGAAAAGTTAGATGTCTGCAAGTCACCAGGGCCTGATGAAATGCATCCTAGAATACTCAAGGAGCTGAGAGAGGAGGTATCAGCCTTTAGCTATCATCTTTGGAAAATCATAGAAGACGGGAGAGATTCCAGAAGACTGGAAAAGGGCAAATATAGTGGCCCCATCTATAAAAAGGGAAACAACCAAAAAAACCCAGGAAACTACAGACCAGTCAGTTTAACTTATGCCAGGAAAGATAAGGTAGCAAGTAATTAAGGAATTCATCTGCAAACACCTTGAAGATAAGGTGATAGGTAACAACCAGCATGGAATTGTAAAGAACAAATCATGTCAAAGCAATCTGATCTCTTTCTTTGATAGGGAAATAATTCTTATGGATAAGAGAAAAGCGGTGGACATGGTATACCTGGACTATAGTAAGGCATTTGATACGGTCTAATCTTCTTATCAATAAACTAGGCAAATACAACTTAGATGGGGCTACTATAAGGTGGGTGTATAATCATTCTCAGAGAACAATGAGAAGTCCTGTGGCACTTTATAGACTAACAGA